AATTTCACAATGAAGACACGGAGGTTCATGCTTGGTCAGAAGTTGAAGGCGTGGGCCACTACCGTTGGCTTCAAGGACCATTGAATCACTTGCCTCGTGAACAACAATTGGAGTTCATAGCAGAGGTTATGTGACAGATCTTCATTTTCTTACGTTGGTATTGACTGACGATAACATTGCTTCTCGGAGACCTCGAAGCTAAAGGAGGAGGTGATGTTAGGGACATAGTCCTTAGACCTTTCTAGAGACAAGTTTCTAGAACCTTCTAGAAAGAAGTCTCTAGAAACTTCCAAAAGATTCCTTGAATATTCTCTTAGAATATTCTTCAAAGATTCTCTAAAGATTCTTTGAAGATTCCCTAAAGATTCCCTTAGAAGGCTCTAGAAGATTCTTAAAATATTCTAGTAGATTCTAGGAAGTTACTTGAGAAGCTTCCTAGCTCTTGGGTAGTTGCTCGAGAAGCTTCATAGTTCTTGGGAAGCTTCTTGATGCGCTTCCTTAGAACCATAGGCCAGTAGTATATATAGGAGTCGAGGCTAAAGAGTTCTTCAGTCTCGACAACACATCTCTTGAAGCTCTAGCTCAATTCTCTTGGCATTGCTCTTGTACTCATCTGATAATCTAGTTCTTGTCATTTCTTCTTGAACTTCTTGTTTAGATTTCTTGTTTGTATTTTTGGTCCATGACAATTTTATATTGCGTCAACTTTTCTAAGCCAATTTTTTATAGAAACAAATAAATTGGACTTTGCTTTGGATACCATATTATCACAAATAGGAAAATATGATAAACTTCATTAAATACATTTGTATTTAAGAATTTTTTTAGTAATCAAGATTAATTATAAGATTTATAAGAAAGAATTTTTTACAATTGTGGATTCATTTCAAGAATAGTGCCATTATATAGAAGGCGCTTTTAATCTAGTCACTATTTATATTGACTATAAGAATCTTGAATATTTTATATGAACATGCATTTTGAATTATCGCCAAGTCCATTGGAATATATCTTTATCAAGATTTGATTTTAAGATCACTTATCAACTTCAAAAAGAACAAGATTTATCAAATGTCCTTTCTAGATGTTCTTATCTTGCATCAAAAGAAGGAGACACATCTTTTAATTAAAAAAGAATGATCCTCTTAAAATCAAAGCATTTTCAACTTTGAGTAATAAAATCAACATTGACTATTGATTCAAAAAATTTAATTAAGTATGCCCTTTGATCTTCTTCTTCTTGATATCAAGAATCTTTTTTCTAAGTCTCATGATGCTTCTAAGTTTGAGTTCAAAAATAATATATTCTATTTTGAAAGACACCTATATATATTCCTTAAAGAGAAGCATGTTTACATGTTCTTCAAGTATGTCATGACTTTCCAATGATTCAAAATTTTGGATACAATAAGACTTTAGAACTTATATCTAGAGATTTTTTATGACGAAAAATGTAGAACACAGTGAAAGACTTTGTCCAATCATGTGACATTTGTTCAAGGTCAAAAACTCCTTATCATCAATCCTATGGACTTTTCCAACCATTATCCATTCCAGAACAACTATGGACTTCTATTTCTATGGATTTTATCACAAATCTTCCAATCTCAAATTCTTGTGACTTTATATTCATGATAGTAGATCGTTTTACTAAGATGATATATTTTATATCATTTATAAAAGCTAACACAAGTAAAGAAACAACTAAGTTTTTTTTTAATAACATCTATCCCTATCATGGATTGTCTAAAGATATTATATTGGATAGGAGAACTTAATTTGTATCAAGATTTTTTATAATATTTTTTAAGATTTTAAAAATAGATATTAATCTATCTACAGCTTTCTATCCTCAAACTAATGGATAAATAGAGCATGTAAATCAAGTTTTGGGTAATATTAGAAGTATACCATCAACTACCAAAAAGATGATTGGAAATTTTTTTTACCATTGGCATGGTTTGCTTGTAATAATATGGTACATTCTTCTACACAACAAATACCTTTCTTTACTAATTATGGTTATTATCCATAACTTGATGCTTTTAACTTTTTAAAAGTTGATAATCTTTTAGTAGAAGATTTGGTAAATCATTTATCTGAGCTATATACAACAATGAAGGCCCAATTAAAAGAGGCTCAAGAATAACAAAAGAATAATATAGATACTTATTGCAAGGAACAACCTCATTTCCACATTGGTGATAAGATATAGTTACTTTGTCATAATATTAAAACTATTCGCCCTTAAAATAAGTTGGATTATTGTAGATTTGGACCATTTTCTATTTGTCAACAAGTCAATGTAATCACTTATTGATTACATCTAGCAAAGTCTATAAAAATCCATTTCATATTTCATATGTCTCTTTTAGAACTATATAAGTTGTGAATATCCCAGAAAGAAGAAAAATACCACTGCCTCTTATAGAAGTAGATAATAATTATAAATTCAAGGTAGAAGAAGTTTTAGACTTACAACAGTGCGGATACAAGTTAAAATATCTTATTTATTGGTGCGGATATAATATTAGCAAATGTACATGAGAGCCAGTAAAAAATCTTACAAATGCAATAGAGAAGGTCAAGCTTTTCATCAACAACATCCATCAAAACCAAGATGAAAGATAGCAAACCTTTGCTATAAAAAAATACAATTTAAGAAAGATTGCATTCTACCTTCTATCCTTATTTGTAATTTTTCTATAATTGTGGTGTTAAGATGGAGAATCAATAGCCAACAGATTCAACTCAAGAGCCATCATTTGCTAACATACTAGATGAAACATTACAATTATCAAAGCCTTCAAGATGATGTAATAGAAATGAAGACCTTCAAGAATGACATATTTTTCTTCAAATAAATAGCGGTGATTTTATTAGAAGTAAAAACTACTCTTGATGGTGTTACAAATTTTTTTTTTAAAAGAAGTTACAAAGGTTTTAACAATGATCAAATAACAAGGTGGTCTTTCCATCTTGGAATGGGACATTATCAATAGCTGAGAGGACCTATCAACTATCTTCAAAGAGAATAAAGATCAGAGTATGTGGCAAATATAATTTGTCACATCTTAGAATCCCTCAACATATGATTACTATTCCTTGTAGAACTTGTTCCTAGAAAGGGAGGTAATGTCATGAATATATATCTACTATAATTGTTATCTAGATAATATGAATAGGTAGAAGTAGGTAAAAATAAAAAAATTTCATAATATCTTTTAGAAAGGCTTTCTAGGAGCTTTCTAGACACTATTTTGACTTTACATGTATTTGTAGTTGATTGATAGGTTTGAAACTTGATCAACAAGCTTACTACGTGCCACATGTATTGGTAGTTTGCAAAATAAGCTAATTATATGGCGCTCATATAGAAAACTTGTCTTGCAAATTAAGATACTTGTTATGTTAAGTCAACACATTTTTGGAGGTCCTATAGAACGTTGCCACATAGATCCTAGGTAAGTATATATAGAGGCAAGAGTAAAGCCTTCTTTACTCTTGTCAACTCCTTTCTTGTTTCTAGTTTAATTTCAAGAGTCTCTAGATTTTTTGACTTTTGGCAATAGCCATTCCAGTTTTCCTTTTAATATACATACTTCTTTATTTCTATTTTGTCATATTTCTTGGAGAGTCTTACTTGTTTATTTACTTTCATTGAGTTCTTATTGTTAACACATTGGTGATACCTTATTATATTTGAGGGTATATTTGATATTATCAAAAATGCATAGACATATATGATATTTTCTCTCATGTATATCAACTTAAAGCTCATGTGTGATTAAATAAAGATGTCTATAATACCACATGTTATACCAGATATAGATTTTTTAAATTGATAATTATTTCTTTAAAATTGTAGAATTCTTTGTTTGTATTTTTAAAAAATATATTAAAATTTTATTATAAACTAATAATAAATAAAATTTTAATTTTTTTTTTTTTTTTAATAAATTTAAAAACATCAAAAGACCATATACAATACCTTATGTATTATTAAAAAAATCTAAAAGTTAATAATCTTCTTGCAATAACTAAAAAGAAGAGTTTAAATAATTTGAAATACAACTATTGAATTATACAATAGGTGATGCCATTAAATTAAAAAGAAGATTAAATCAACCCACTTATTTGTTAAATTGACTTACCATGGTGACACCACAAATACTTGAAGAATCAAACACACAAGACTAAAACATTTGTATATATCTTACAGAGAGAGAGAATGATCTCAATTCAACTTTATTTTATAAATAGTTTATCAAAAGAAAACATTGGATCTAAATTAGAATCAATAATTGAATTGGGATTATTAGGAATGTGAATTAGTGGAGGATTAGATGGCTTCATTGACTCCGCAACCAAGATGTGCTTCATGACTTGTGATGATCTTTAAAAAAAATTCCCAACTTGTAAGATAACAGATATATTCATACAGATCAATTTAAGATTTAGGTGGGTCAATTTAATATTTTCATAAATTAAATATGAAGTAAAAATAAATAAATTTTTGAAAATAGAAAAAACCAATCAAAAATAATAAAATATTTTTTGATCAAACAAAAACTTCCAAAATTTTATTTAAAAATTTTACAAGTTTACTAACTTTTTTATTAAACATGTGGTCGAAGATATGCTTAAAATAGCAGTAAAATCTTATTATTTTGATCATTTAAAAAATAGATTTTATAATTTCAAAAAGATTGATTTTGATTCTATAGTTATTTTATAAGAAAAAGACAATATATTAAACACAAATATGTTTTCAAACTTATATTTGTTTAAAGATAATTGCCTTGTATCATACCTCAATCCATCTGCATTCTCTTATATCAAACTTGGTTATATAATTCAAAATTCTAATTCTTTTTGTTTTAACAGAAACCTCATAATTATTGCAACAGTACAAACAGTTAAAGAGCCACTGTCTAAGATTCCCATATTAAAAAGAACCAAAAGAATACACTTGAACAGAAATCATATTTAGAAGTATATCATGTAAGCTTAAAAGTGAATATATTCTTAAATTTTGGGAGACAACATTTTTCGAGAACTTCCCATCAAGTTCGTTGTATCATTCACATGTATCTGAAATCGTTGCATACAAGACACCTCCAATCTAATCGTCCATGAACTGTCGGTAAGGGTAAAGGTCTATCAACTCAGCTAACTTCTGCCGGACTCCTGGAAGAGTCTCGGGAGCTTGGGCAGCCTCTGGGGAGTCCTGAGCTGCCTCAAGATGAGGCTGCAATGTCTGCTGCAAAATGAACTGCACATGGACATCTTGCCAATCATAAGGATCAATCTGTTGAAGTAGCTCTATTGCTTTCTCTTCATCTTCTGCAGCTACATATGCCCGAAATAATCTGGCACCCAACAACTTGTTTTGGTAAGTAAAAATGAAAACCATAAGCCCATAATTAGAAATCTGAGGTTCAGTGTGCCCGTAATGACAGTTAATATTGAAACAAAGCCACTAGTACAAGGAAAAGATCTTAATAACAAACAGAAGGATACATTCAAACGTTTAAATAAGTCTTTAATTTTGGTCAGAGGAACTCAAGAAGTCACAGACCTAATTTGAGAGAAGACGTTTAGTGCTAATCCTTCCTTCTCCATTTCAGAAACAACCCTCTGTGCTTGCTCCGAGTCGTTCATGGAGGCACAACCATCTAGAAGAGCTTCTAATGCCATGCGTGAAGGACTCAGCCCCAATTCTCGCATGGCTGCGACAACAGCAAAGCCGTCATCCACATCCAACCAGCACATTTCATTTGCGTCTCTTCCTCCATTTGATATATGAAGGAAAATCTGAACAATGCCGAAACTTGGGTTTAGGTGAAAATTTGAGAGAAAGACACATCTGGCATGCAAAGTTTACACAGATTACCAAGATCACCTAAAAATATGCACGCCCATGGTGGCAACCAGAACCCATGAGAGCGTACCTTGTCAAACAGAACTGCCACATCTGCAATATTTTCATCTTTAACTTTACGCAGAAACTCCAGGGCTCGCCTGCATAGATTCAAATGGGCATTCCATTAAGGAACGTAGAGGAGCAAGTTCAAATTGTCAAGGAATAGATGTATCAGACATGAGAAAATGTACAAACCAATCGATCGATTCCAGATAAAGTAGAGTTGTCTTGCAGGGTGTGACCTATGCTCTGAAAGACAATTTCGTGTCAACTCACCCCAGCTGATTATGCCGTATGCAACCCAGCACCACGTTTATGCAACGTACGTTCAGAAACTCAGCACGTTGTTGGTAGGTCAATTTGGTCCACAAATTCTCCTTGCGGCAGTCCTCAAAGATGTTGAACATGCGATCCAGATCCCCTGCCTTTCCAACAGCAACCTGTCGTACCAACCATATCAAGTCCAACATAAGAAGACCACCAATAATCTACTGCGTAAAAATAATAAAATTTATCTAGACAGGCTTTAACAGTTCTAAGTAGCACCAAAGTATCCACTCTGTTACAATTAATGGTAGTAATTCTATAACCTGGCACCCAATAACACAGAAGAAATAAGTGCACACACCAGAACACGAACAACCTACCAACAGGATTCCAGCGGCATAAGCCTCCGGAAAAGCGCCTTCCCTCTTAAGAGCTCCGTACAATGCGAGAGCTTCACCTAGACGACCAGCCAAAGACAAACCAGCCAGAATGGCGCTTTTCGCCTTTGTACCCACCACTTCCCCTCTTCTCTCGATTTCCTTGACCATCTGCGAGTCAATAAAGCATTCCCAAACAAGGTGATTCAGCGAAGTTCAATAAGTTGCATTCAAGTCTTAAAAAGTAAAAAATAAAAAACGTAACTGATTGTGCCAATCAAACTACGTTACTGAAAGCGTCAAACGCTAGAGTCAAACACTGTTCCTGGAAAAAGAAGTGGCACGAATTCCACATCTAGGAACACTTCTAAATAGTATGCAATATGCGGGACACAAAACCGAATGGACTTGCTCCTTGAAGAAAATACTACCCCGATCGTAGAATTGAAGCGGGCAGGAGCTCCAGGCCGTAAAACTTTAGAACTACTAGATTTGTAGATTTAAAACAACTTTCATCGAGTATTTATTTGTAGAAAATTGCCAGCACCAAGCAACTTTAAGTTTGACGATTAATTCAAAACGCTTGCACGGTTAGTTCCAGTTAGAACATGTAACTTCAAAAAAAGATACTAATCGTATCAGTAGTATCAACACAATAGTGTGGTAAGTTGCACAACGGCCAATATCAATAAGAAACGAGGGGCTACCTCAATACTACGTTCCAGTTTTCCACACCTTGCGAAAACAGAGGCCATAGCCGAATATATGCCAGCATTAGGCTGCACCCCACGCTGCAGCATTTCCTCGAACAACTACAATATACAAACACATTGTATCATAGATTGTCAGGCCGGAATGCAGTTGGTTTCAAACTACAATAGGCAAGTGAATATGCACTAAGGATATTCTACTAGAATTAAAGGTACAACCGTCAAAACACTTGAAGATGGACAAATCGAGAAGCACTTATCAATCACATCTCGTTGAACTATTGGTAGCCAAGATCCATTCAAAGCACTTTACACTGGCCAGTTATTAACACCTTCCGGTTGCGTTAAGCGTATGGATCTCTTGTTGAACAAAATGAGATCTTAGAATCATGAAAATACCTCAACAGCCTTATCCTCATTCCGCACCATGGAGCACGCAAATATTAGCATTGAGTAAGTGTAACTATCAGGCTGAACTCCGGCACTCAGCATCTCTCTCAAAACCTCTAGAGCTCGATCCAGTCTTGCCTGTTCCACCCATCTTCGAATCAAAATCTAAGGGTTTCCGCAGGATTCAACAAACAAACAAGAAACAAACCAAAAACCAACCCAAATGAGGAGAAAAGAAAGAAGCGAGCATGAACACTTAGTAACCAATAGAGCACGAGCATCACCTGACTCCCAAAGCCCATAATAAGAGGGTTGTAGCAATGGGCATTTGGCTGGATACCAACCTGCTTCATCTCTGCAAGTAAATTGTACGCTTGCTCCATCTGTACATTGCTCACCGCAATGGTAACATTAAATTAAGCTAACTAAATAACTTGTCAGAAAAATATCAAAAGGATATTTCAATCAAAAAAGCGCACACCAAAGTTGGGCTGTACTTTGGTTTTTCAGAGTTAGCTCGAAAACTCGACTTGTCAACGCTAATCAAAGGTCAAATCTAGAACTGTAATAACCGTTATGTTGAACACCATTTTAAACATAAAAGGTCATACTTGGTTATAGATGAAAGACGATGTTCACATGAAAAAGAATAATGCAAATCCTACAGCACGAAACCAGCTCTATCTTCTGAAACTTACATCTCCAAGTTTGACACAACAGTTGACCAACGTGCTGTACGTCACTACAGATGGCTGCACACCAAGTCTGCCCATAGCTGCCTTCATCTCGAACGCCTGATTTTGTCACAAAAAAGTAATGCAGTGTTTTGCTAATTAATCTCATGAGTAGTTCACAAAGAAAAACACTTTATGTTTTTAGTTATAACATCTAATATAGAGATGTCACTCCAGAAAAGTTTCACGATCTCTATTGCTTGTAAAATTACCTCTTCATACATACCCCAACGTGCAAAGTCACAGATGAAGGGATTGAATGCGTAGGGAGATAACTTTGTCCCTCTTTGTTGCATCTCATCCAAAAGATCTAGACCCCACGATACCTGCCACCAATAAAAAGGAAATTGATAATATTAATGAAGTAAAAAAATTAAAATTAAAAAGATTTATAGAACACTCTCTTCTCCCAAATTGCACTTGAGTAATCATTAAGGATGTCACAACTCCTACATCTGTCTAAACTGACTAATTATACGACTATTCCAACTGCTGCAAAGTAATGAACAACACATAGACCAATTTCGTTGCGTGAAAACCAAGCAAACAAAGGTCACATAAGAAAATGACGTACATGGCCATGCTTACAACATGAATCAATCAGGATGTTGAACACTTCAGGAGGTGCATTTATACGACACTGCTCTTCAACGTCCCTCCATAATCCCAATGTTTCTTCCAACTATTAAAGAAACGAGGTAAGCATGCGTAATGTACACAAAACACCAAAGCAGGTTGGGGAAAATGAGTTCACTGGAGGGAATCGAAGCACGCCATTATGTGAACTAAAGAACGATTAAAGGTTATAGATTGATCATTGAATACGATCCAATACAACTTTGTTTACCTTCTTGGCTTTTGAGGAACCCAGTATATAGCTAACAAAAGAGCAATTCAGCTGTTCTGAACTTCCTCCTGAGAATTCCAGGTCAAAGGCGACACTCAATACTAAAATATGCATGGTCAATGAAAGGAATTGTCTGAGAAGGGTATATTTGAGAATTATTCAGTTCAGAAAAATACAAATCTGATCACAGAAAAAGTCGAAAATTTAAATGAGCTTTAAGCCTAGAACAATTCAGCACCGATAAAGACTTCAGTAAATTCACCAACAAAGAAAAGCTCGTACCCGACTTTTTCAGAGAAGTGAGACACTTCATAGCTGCTTGGTGTTTGCCATGCCTTCCAAGACATTGAAATGCAGATGCAGTGCCCTTATCGGAGTTCATGACGGGCAGTACTTTCGGCAGCAACTCTATGAGCTCTTCAACTCTGTCCTCTTGGGCAAACGCACTAAGAAAAAAGGCTGCCTCGATTTTAATACCAGATTCCCCCAAGCCAACGCATCATTCCTGCCCCATCAGTAATCATATTTCTCAAACCATAAAATTACAATTTGAACTGGTACTAAACTCCTCACTGCACCGCATAGGGTCCAAAAATACGGGATATTTTCAACATGAAACTTAGAGGATATAGAAGACGGAGTTCATTCGAATAAGAAGAACTCACCATCCAAAGAAGAAGCTATTTTGGCATTCTCTTTCTTAGCAGCTATGTAAAGTCTTTCGGCTTTTTTCAAATCGCCAACTTTTAATGCCAAGCGAATCTCATAAAATTTAAACACTCCATCGAATGCAACTCCATCCTCAGCCATCAAATTCTTTAGTTCTTGAAACTGAGCGTCGCGCTTCCTTGCTGGAAGCCATGACATGATTGGCTTGTACGTAAGCTCATTGGGCCGGATTCCTCTGCCGCGCATCTCATGTAAAAGTTCCACGGCCTTGGAAGCCAAAGTCTCACTCTTGGCAACCTCATTTAACCCTTGCTGTCCAGAATGATGAGCCTTCTCATTGTCCTGCAATCGTAACATAAATCGCATCATTTATGGGTCACAATCCAGTGCATATGCACCTAACATCACAAGGCCTCAATGTACAAGGATATGCTTGAGCTCATCATCAAAATAAATAACTGCATATGGCTGACGATGATGGCCATTATAGGAAAAAAAAACAAAAGAAAAAAAAACAAAAGAAACAAAAAAACAAAAAAAACAAATAAATAAAGGAACATAAATCATAGCATAATATTAAAGAGAAGATATGAGATTCACACTGAAATTACTTTCCAGCACACCAACAACCTATCTTGAAGAAACTGGAGGAGGGAGAGATAGCCCGACCTCCAAAATAATTCAGCACATTAGAAGAGTTCACACAGAGTGCCCTACAGCTTACCGCAAGATCCATAAGCGCTCGAATAACAATGGTATAAGGTACCACATTGGGCGTCACACCTGCTTCAGTCATAAGTTCAAACACCGGGAGAGCTGTCTCGTTTCCAGCGTGCCTTACACACTGGGTCATAAGACGGGAGTAAAAGTACACATCTAAACCTGTTTCATCGGATTCAGCTTCCTCCTTCATCATCTGTTCGTGAGCTGCTTGAAGCTCCTTAAATTTTCTCTCCCTAACAAGCTTGAACAACATCATTATCCTTGGATCCTGGATGAGCTCAGATGCGGGCTTCGACTGTGCACGGGTACGCCCTGGAGTACCATGCCGAGTCGTTCCCCTAACTGCATAGCGGCTATCCATACATTGTCGGTTCATGTCATTGAGTCCTGTCGGTCCTGATTGCAATTCTTCGACATGTCCAGATTCTGCAAAACAGACATTGATGCACACATTCTGAGAGAACCTTCTGATGACAATCGTCCGAGGATATCCAAGCTTCAATCCAAATGCCAACAAACAAAAACCCATGACACTGAGGAACTCACACAGCTATGGCAATGGAAGGTTACGTGAATGGCATCTCCACAAAATGTTAGCAAAATTAGGGTTCAGGGTTTATCAAGTGCAAGTGAGATTTCGAAGTATCCTGATCGCCCATGTGCAACTAAATGCGGTCGTGGAGTTATAAATCGATGAAAAATTTGGAATAAAAATTATACGAATAAACAAATAGCATACAAATCCCAAGTCAGAAGCATTCAACCATCATGCGCCCGCAGGAGAACGTACCTGAAGTTGCTAATTCCTCCACCGCCGGACATGATTGATGCACAGCGGATGTGAAAATAAGCGCACGATCACAAACAGACGCCGTTCGCAATGCTCTTTGCAAGAGCACGCCGCGCATCATCATCATCTTGGCCACATACTCCCACCTCCCGCAGAAATTCACTCCACAACCGCCACCTTACCAACTCTAAACCTGACCATATACCGTGCACAATCTCCAGCCTAAAAATCTCCCGAAACTGCTTCCATTGCAGGCCACTACTCAAATAAAACAAATGTACCTCAAATTTTCTAGGGCGTGCTTGATAAATTCGCAACTTCAAAAGGTCACCATCAATCAAGACATCCCGAAGATTCAACAATCGAAAGTGCGCGCTGATTCAACTCACTAAACCAAAAAAATTCAGGTTGTTGCATCGGCAGAAACTTGCCAAATTCTACTGATCTCAATTCAGCGACCTCTCCATCGGAAGCAAATTGCAGCCACCCTTTCATCGCAAATTTGTCCGAAAGGAAGCCGCAAAACCTTCGACGGCCTCGTACCCACCCATAGAATGTTGTTGTCTATGGTATTGAAGGTTGTACTGGGTATGTATCCTAAAAGGCGGGTAAAAATAGAAACAATGGTATCAACTTCTTCCTGGACCTCGAACCGGTCTGGTCCACGTTGACAGAATGACACTGATTGAATAAAAAATGAAATGGTTCTTGTTATTACGTTAAATATTAATAATAATTTTTGTTCTTTTAGATGTTTTCGTGCATGAAAATATAACCAAAATATTTAAACATAACAAGTTTACTCCATAATCAATGAAATCGATTACACTTTTTGTTTGTGATATGATTTAATGACCAAAATATTCAAAATTACAAAAATTCATATAATGGAATTTTTTTAGTTTTTATGTCACATTCTCAATCTAAAAATATATTTATTTTAATTTATATATATATATATATAAATTTATATATATATAAATTTATATATATATATATACTGATATTTAAAATATATTCAAATATAAAATTACATCTTTGAGATTTTAGTATTAGTTGAAGTAAATTGTTTAAGTTGTGTTTTTTCTTTTTCTTTTTTTTTTAAATATATATTGTCATCAACTTGAATCAATATAAAGTTTCGTTGAGCATATGTTGGAAAATAAATCTAAATATTTCTACAACTTCATTAAAATCTCCATGTGCACATTTTCAAGAGAATACAATGTCTACAAGAAAACAAAAAATTATATATATATATATATATATATATATATACATTTCATTTTCTTTCTCTTTTTAGAACAAGATTGACCTTAGAGCTACATGTAAGAGCAAGAAATCTCAACGACTTTTTGGAGAAGAAGTGAGATTTTTTTTCACCGGTCTAATTCACAAATTAATAGAAATAATAAAAAAATTGGGATTTAAATACACAACATCTTCTTTCTTTATCTATAATCTTTCAAGTTGGTACCACCTTCAAATTCAAATAATGTCTATCACCCTCAACTTCATTACTGTATAATTAGTTTACATGATTTTACTACAAAACTAGTTTCCTACTTATTTTCTTCCTTTGCTTGCTTCCTAATTCAAATCACAACATGAAAATGTTATAACGTATTAATTTCAAATCCATCTTCCTCTTCATCTACTTCTTAACATCTAATCACAATCATGCAATGTGTTAATTTCCAACCCATCTACTCCTACTCAAAACACAACCATAAAATATGTTAATATCAAAACAAAACCATAAAATGTGTTACTTTCCAACCCATCTTTTTCTTCAACTTCCACTGATACATTAAAATTTATTTTCCAACATCTAAATCATATACAGTGTCATAGAACATATGTTTGAAAATAAATCTAGATGTTGCATTGGTCCGACCACACTCAACCTCACTGACTAATTTGACAATAGAATCGAAGCAAAATCTTAGCTAGATTTGCTTCTTAACATCTTCACAAAACGTCAGTAGAAACTTCAAATGAATCTCAAAGAATAGAATACAAAGTTCGATCGATATTCCTCGGGATTCTTTGGAACGAAATCCCCCCCCCCCCCCCAGAACTGCGGCCACACTGGGCACCTTGTGCGTTAACTTCTGCAAAGCATCGTTGGTGATTCAACCTCTATTCCTCGGAATTCTACCCGTCTCTTGAAAGTCTGTGGCATGGAAGCTTCCGGCGCGATTTTCGACGCCATTCACTACTGAGCATGGGCTCAACATGGCAGTGCCGGTGATAGTCCCCTCGTCCGAACTCGCGAAGTCAAACCTGAGTCCAATTCAAAGTCCACATATGACAATGCTTCATCAGCAAGGTCACCAAATCGCCAATGCAATATCCATCGCTCAGATTATATGGTAGAGCGCGAGACACCAACATGGACCCGAGTCTACGTCAAGGGGTTTGCTTAGTGTTGAAAAAGAGCTGCCCTGGTGATCGAATACAACAAAATCGTACTTTACAATACAACATGTACGAGTGCCCGTCTTGGCGTCTTGTGGATTCTGGTGGACGAGGGTAGGGTTTGGTCCGGCACCAGGCGAGTCCACCGGAATATATACCTAATGCAGACAGGCAAAAGGCAGAAGCTGGGAGGAATTTCCTATGAAATTTCGTTCTGCTTGCGTGCCACGGTTGTGACTTCCACGTGGATTTCTCCGGTCCAATGAGTGGGCGCCAGCTGACTGAATCGTGGACGGAAGGTTATCTACTCAGGTATTCGCAACTTCACGACGCAGCTGGGGTTATAGGCTCCCCGTCCCCCATCGCCACGGACCATCTCGTAGTTCCTAAGACCGTGACAAAAGGGACCACCCCTTTCCACCCCATTATATATATATATATATATATACATACTTGTGAATATTGAGTGTACAAGATGTTGAGCATGTTCTACCTATTGTGATGTTGTCATGTGACATTTCTGTAAATTTTGTTGCCACACTGAATAAAACTAAATTATCTATAATCCATTGGGTATTGAATTCTTATAAGGTTCTCATTCAAATATCTTTGCCCAAGAATTACCCAATTTATGATAATCTATGAGTGTCTCAAAGCCATGTAGAAAAAATGTAAAATATTTTTGAACAATGCGATTTTTATTCTCTCATGTTGATTTAAGGCATTAAATTAATCAAATGTGCCTTGGCCTGTAAATCACGTTTTAGAGCACTCAGGCCTGTGATTCAGATGACGGAGTTACTTTCTTTGTAACTTCCAGATTCAGCATCTGAAGTTGGTACAAAAATACGAATACGTGCTTTAAATAAATAAGACCGAAGAACACAAAAGATTCTCAATTTTCTGTTTGGGTGCAATTTGTAAGTGCATTTTTTACTATTTTTTAAATACATTTTTATATTTGTATTTTATCTCTCTTTTGCCTCTTTTGTAATTCCTTCCTCCATCTACTGTTCTTTCTAAAATATTAATTGGATGAACTAATTATTTTACACGGTGGGGCACTTTCTCCAGCAAGTGTGCAAAAACAGTGAACATGGATATATTTGTGTTCTCAACAGAATACATTAATCAATGTACAAACCTTTCAGCAATGATTTGGCATTGTTTATTTATTTATTTATTCATTTTTTTACAGAGAAATTATCATTGTCATTTCGGTGTATATATAATGTTAAATGGAAAATTTCTCATTGATATATGTAACTATAATTAAACTTGCTGGTATTTCATTGTGTGCATTTTTTTTTTTTTTTTTTTTTTTTTTTTTTTTCACACTTAGTATTACCATTCACCACCACCACGAGAAGCTAAGAATTAAGGACAAGGATCACTTTGGATTTACGTTTTTAATTTTTTGGTGAGATATATATAGATATATGTTGAGAGTGTGACAGTACATGTGAAAACAACACAATTATACTCAAGTATATTATTGATTATAACGTGTGTGAAGACAACACAACGAGTACATGAAAATAATTCTTAGGAGGTACACATTTTTTCAATACTTATTTTAATAAGTTTAAATAATGGGTGTTAAGTTTGCTCCCAGCATAACTAAGTTCCTTATTCCTTCGTCAATGGGAAAGTGTGCTGAGAAGTATAATTAATTTGCTTCCAATATAACTAGCCCCCTAATCGCCTTTTTCCATAAAACATCTGAAACCACAACTAGACAAAAAGCAGATAACAGAAATCGGGTGTGATGGGGCAGGGGCAGGACCCGCCCGGGTGCAGCATCGGGGACCCGTTCTTCTGAACCAGAACCAGCAGCACGGGCGTGAGAAGCCACGGTAAAAAGTCTCCACGCCGAAGCACTGAGGCAGCGTCGCTGTTGGTGCTTTTGAAGGGATCATCACATTCGTGTGTGTGTATGGCTGTGTGTGGATTAGGTTCCACCCTCGGCCACTATCAGGTTGCCGAACCGATAGCAATGTGGCTGGACCTGGAAATGCCGATTACCATCGGCATTTGCAGTCACCACTTCCACGGAATGTCACCGCGCGTGATATGAATTCTGCGTCGATGAGTGGCATAGTGAACCCGGGTGACGACGTTATTGTAACAGACTCTGAAGTTAGAAAACGCAACGTGGATTCCATTCTGAGAGAACCGGCAGCTCGGAATGGTATCCAAGTTGAGTGCCCCAATTGGAACCCGCTCACGTCACCAAATTCGGCAACAGAGGTGGTGGAACGTGTGGCACTTTCAGGAATTTGAATGACAGCACACGATGGGCTCACTTTTGACCGCAGTTGTGCAACAAAATCATTGCGCAGTTGAGAAACGGCAAACCTATGTTAGCTTTAGGTAGATCCTAGAGTCCCTTAGACGAGGGAGACGGAGTGTGTGGTAGAGCTGGTGAATGGTGATGGATGGGGCGGTGGAGAGCTGGGAGCCTGCTTGCCGTGTTGCTCTCAAGGTGAGCCAAGCGGATTGCGTGCGTCCGAGTCTTCGCGGAAGACCTTGTTTGATGCTTGCAATCGGATTTCTTCGTACAATCCGAGCTTCACTGTTGTTTGCCGCTACTGAAATTGCCTCTTGAGCTGTCACTTCCGCCGCAAACTTCGTTTTTACCTTTTATTTCAAATATAGGCCGATTTTTTATTATTTTTAGCCTGGTTGGGTAAGGCGGGGGGGGGGGGGTTGGTATTACGGTGGTTAACCATGACCTTGCGGAAGCCGTGAAGGGTGACGGATGCTGCAGGGATTTGTTTATTCGAGTGTGTATGTGTTGGCCTGGATGCTCATGCGGTGATGGGAGCGTATTTCGAAAAGCCGCTGGCGAGAGGGATTTTGTGGGGATGGTTGGTTGGCGACCCGTGGACGGCTTGATTGAGTGATATATAGTGCGGCCTCGTGAGGAGTTTGGCGCCGGTCGTGGTGGGATTGCTAGAGCGAATTCTGCTTTCTTGGGGTATGGTCAGTGTTATCAAGTAGTTGGATGTGGAATTAAATTGTTTGAGTTGTGATGGATTTAAGACGGTGGTTGGTGAGAGCGCAGGAATCTGAACTGCGCGTTTGGTTGATTGTTCTGGTCTAGTCTGGTCTGGTCTGGTCTTGTTTGGTTCTGTTGGCTTTGTGCGAGGCCATGCACCAGAAGGGAGTTTTTGCTGTCTTTGTCGTCATTGTTCTTGTGGTTGGAATCGAGTTGGCCAGAGAAGCGGTAAGTGCGTATCTCGAATGCGTTCGCAGAGAGTTTGTCTATAATGTAGTAGATATGTATGAGAATAACTGACTGTGCATTGGCGGGAGTTTGCACGCTGGAGCGAATACTTTGGAGACTTCGCGAATTTGCGTGGCTTTTAGACTTGCTTCATGCCTAATCTTAGTGTGTGGAAGTCAATTGGTTCTCTATGTGCAAAAGGGATGGTGTATGTCCGACGTTGACGCATGCCTTGTATCATTAAGCTGGTTTCACGAAGGCGGTGTTGTGATGGTCGCACATAATATGATTACTTGATCTCATCCTTCTGTCGGACTCGCAAGTTCATGAACATAGAGCTTCCTTTTTTTTGGATGGATGTTATCGAAGTAGTTTACGAGATAGATCCTAATGGTAATAAGTATAAAGTTGTATGTCTGAATGACAATTATATCCTATCATTACGTCCTCCATCATGACCAGCTCTTTGTTTTTCGGTTTGAGCCCATCAATGACTTTTAAGCAGCTAACTTTCAATGTGGTCTTTAGAGTTTTGCCGTTGGTTGCTGGCAGCTACGAGAGAACGGGCTACCTTGAAGTTATAACTATGAACCTTCTAATTTACATGAACAAGAGAGCCATGCAGTTCACCGTTTAGGAATTTCGACTCAAATTTAGGTCTTTGTAATTCGGAGGATCGGTTCTGTACATTATGATGCATTATCTTTGCTCAAATTTAGATCGTTCAAGTTTACTCCTCAGGCCCTTAAGTATGTATGTCCATTCATTGGGAACGTAAGATTTGTGTGTGAACTCGAGATTACTCTGTTGTAGATGTTTACAGCTGATGCCATTTGATGTATTAAGTGTGAAGTTAAAATTTGTGCGATGTGCATTGACTGATTTTGAGAGGATAGGTCATCTTACCACTGCTGTGTGCCCAATTATGGCTGTTTTGCTTAATAGAAGCCTACGTTTCATTGCCACAGGAAGTGTGTAAGAGCTGGGTGACTTAGGCATACTGCCGATATGGCAGATCATGAAGAGGATGACATTCGAATCGGCCGTGTCTTTCATGTCACTCGATTAACCGGTAGGTTTGGGGGTCGCCGCCGAGAAGATTCCCAAAACTTGGAGGGCGTGGACATGATTGAGTTGAGGGGTAGGAGTGCTCGTATTGTGATGGATTCTACTGACAGTGATAGCGATTGCATGGAAGGCGAGGAAGAATATGAAGATGGTGACAGTCAGATTGAGGAGGAGGAATCGGGGGAGGGATCGGAAGAGTCCAATTTCTACGCTGCAGAACTAAGCGACAGTGAGGAGTTGCATCAGATTTTGGATACTAGGGCAATGTCGGGTGGAAGTGAAGACTATGAAGCTAGTCATGCATCACTGGATCATGCTATAGCGCATTCTACAGCAATGCGGCATGCTCCCAGTAAAGGTTCAGCGAGGTTGGAGAAAGTCAAACGAGGGGAGTTTGTGAATACAATGACAATGCTGGCGGGCAGAGAATTTAATGTTTCTGGTAACGGGAGATTTTCGAGGGCTGAATGCTGTCATGTGGGTGCAAGATATCTTCCATCTGATGGTCCATCTATTGTGGAGGATATGAACAGTCGAGCTTACATTGGGCAATTTTCGGGAGATGGAACATTATTTGTGGCAGGGTTTCAGGTGAGATTTCGGAGCAGTGAAATGTAATCTGAGATGCGACATGGAGTAGGTCACGTTGAATAGTAAATTATTTCTTTTCTCGAATACTTGCTGCTTGCAGTCTCTGATATCGATCCTACTTATCAAAAGTAACCAACTAAATTTTGGTGATTGTGGTGATCCTTTATTGAAGTTCTCTTTATAGTTCATTAGTGCCAGAATAGATCTTTACAATTTAATTTTGTAATCCTTCAATAGTCTACAATTTCCTTTTTGAGTAATTTTGTTATAAATACAAATGATCTCTGAGGTTTAAGTTCAGTATGGTAGATGGAGAAGAGATTAATTGATTAGCTGGTAACCTTCATGCATTGAGTCAGTCACTTTCGGGGCTGGATTTTTTCAGTGAGGTGGTAAAATTTAACAAAGATCAAATTGTGAGGGTGGTGTTTAATACATATGGTATTTTGAAAACGACTTACAAATAGTTTAATACTGGAGTTTTTCGTCTTTAGCTTTTGAGCAGGACACTTTCGAACTTGTATTGAATCCACTTTATATAACAGTGAACAAATGATCTTGTGTTCTAATTTTTACTTTGTGAGTAAAAGCAACATAGTACTTGCTTACAGCAAGTCTCGTAGCTGCTGCTTTTGTCATTAATAGTTTTGAGTGAATTGCTGGCGAATAGGACCGAAGGATAAGGATTTACGATGTCGACAAGGGTTGGACTGTTCGGAAAGATATTCAGGCCCGCAACCTTCGCTGGACTGTTACAGACACGGCTTTATCACCGGATCAGCGCTTTTTGGTACGAAGTTTCTCAGTCTTTGAAATCACAGACTCCTGATAAATTAGGATGGTTCATTGAGTTTTGTATAAAGATTTGTTCTTTTTGAATTCCAGGAATGTGTGGTTGAATTGAGACACTTTTTGTGTTTTAAAATATTCTCAAGGGCATCGTTTATATTTCTTCTATTGATCACGTGTGTTGTGTTTCTCTGTAGGTTGTGGGGTGAATTTTTGTTATTGTATTGCAGAAAGATTTTTAAATTTAAAGAAGTGTGTTACTATAACAGAGTCATGGATTGTTTGTGTGCAGGTGTACGCATCTATAACACCAGTTGTGTACTTGGTTAACGTAAGCTCTGAAAGTGGTGGTGTGACTTCTCTTGCGAATATTACGGTAAGGGTCCCTTTTGCCGAGCATAGGTGTTTGACCTAGTATGTACTTCTGAACTTGGGACTTGTTAGGGAGACTGTTTCTTCAATATGTGATTGCAATTGAACACTGCGCAATTTAATCATAACAAAAGTAAGTTAGTCAGAAGTATGCTTAAAAATGTTCTGCCCACCTTGTTTTGAATTTTGGCTGTGCATAGTATTCAAAGTTTTCAGTTGCTTACGTTTTACTGTCGGGGAATGCGGGTATACGTGTATTTAAAATTTACAATTATTTGGGGATGGCAGGATATTCACGAAGGCCTGAACTTCGCTTCAGATTCAAGAGGGGATGTATTTGGGATATGGTCACTGCAATTTTCTGAAGATGGCCGCGAGCTTGTGGCTGGCAGCAATGACAAGTGTATTTATGTTTATGATCTGGAGGCTAATAAACCAGTTTTACGAATCAATGCTCACAAGGTTTGGAATTATTGAAGACCTGATCTTCCTTTATTTAGTACCTAAACCTCAGGCAGTGAGTCAGAGTTGTTTGACCCCGTAGGCGTGGATTTGTAAATGTCTGGACAGGTGTTCCGGAAATGTATTTTGTCCATCTCGTCAGATCCATTCCTCTGTGTACTGGTTGCATGCAGTTGCTTGAAGTTTGAGCTCTCACATGCAAGCTGTATTGCTTCTAAATGAGAACAATCTAATCCTCCTGTCAATAGAGGTTGAACTGTCGAGTGATTTCATTAATTACAGTTACATTTTATGCTTTAAACTAGATTCGGTGGCAGATTTATTTAAATCGTGTCGAGTCGTGTCGAATCAATTACAGGGAGGATGTTGTGTTACTCTTGATCATCCCCTAAATTTAGCGTGTGATGGGAATTACAGGATGATGTGAATGCTGTGGTGTTTGCTGATGAGTCTTGTCACTTGATCTTCTCCGGAAGTGATGATAACACGTGCAAGGTATGTTCTTTTTGACTCTTTGGAGTTCAATTTTTTCGTACGATCGAGCCTTCTTGTGTACAAGCTTTGCTTATTTGGATCGTAAGGATTCTTTTGCAAAGTATGCGGTTGTACACACCTTAACATCATCTCTGTCGGCTGATTAGGTGTGGGATCGGCGTTGCTTTACTCTTAGGGGGCGTCCTGCTGGACAGCTCGTTGGACATTTAGAAGGAATCACATTCATAGATAGCAGAAAAGACGGTCGGTACTTTATCTCCAACGGCAAGGATCAGACCATCAAACTGTGGGATATTCGAAAGATGACTTCAGGCCCCACAACTTGCAAGTTAGTTTCTAACTACACCTTTTTTTTGAAAAATACATTATCAAGTACAAACTTCAGGGGATAATTTTAACAGATTAAGTTATATATACTATTTTATGCGTGATAGTGGTGTAAAGTGCAACATGCTCATCTAGAAGATCGGAGGGATGCAGTAACTTTTTACAATTTTTTATTAGCTTTACTACCTGTTCCTAGATTGGAGTGTGGAAGCACTGATATATTTGTATTAAAATGTGCATCAGGAAAGATCGAAAAATTCCTTCATTCGCGTGGGACTATCGATGGATGGATTATCCTGGCATGGGTCGTGATGTGCGCCATCCATACGATCAGTCCTTAATGACTTACAAGGGGCATCTAGTTCTGCGCACTCTTATTCGCTGCTACTTCTCTCCTCTGGCCAGGTTTGTTGAGAACAGTTTACCAGGGTGCTGTTTTTGTTGAAATATTTTGTAGTGTTGAGTTGCCCAATGATTATTGGCGGGCGCTTGTTAAACTCAAAGCTCATACATGCTTGTGTGTAGGACTTGCAATAGGTAATGCGTTTGTGTACACTTTATTTCTTACACTGACTCGTTGTAATGGTGCAGCACGGGGCAAAAGTATATATACACAGGTTCACATGATGGTTGCGTCTACATTTATGACTTGGTAATCCTCGTCTTGTGACAACCATTACTCTTATCCCTATCTAATCCATTTTTATCAATTTTATTTGTTTATTTACTTAAATCCGCACTCTAAATCTCTTTTGACTTGCCTTGTTCTTCACCAGGTAACTGGGAAACAAATGTCAAGGTTGAGCTACCACCGGGGCACAGTGCGTGACTGCAGCTGGCATCCAACAGAACCCATGTTAGTCAGCAGCTCCTGGGACGGCCAACTCGCTAAGTGGGAGCATCGTTTTGGGGACAAGTCCACAATCGAAGCGCCCCACATAAGCTACGACGATTTCTTCGACTAGATATTATGGTTCTGCATTGCGACTACAGACCAATTGTTCAGCCACTGCCCCTGTAGATCGCGATGAGGTCACCTTTTTCTGAATGTTCGATCGGTTAGTTTAGTGAGAAGCTGGATTCAGTGCAGCTGAGTTCAATTGCTGCGAAGTTGTGACAGCAATCGGGCTATTGTGGCAAGAACCAGCTTACTTGCGGTCCTTTTTTGGAGCATTTTCAATACCTCAGTTGTACAGCTGTATGTTAGTTGGGAAATGTAGAGTATCTGGAAGTTAAAGTCCACAATTTAAGGTCACCACCAACGGGGTTGTTTACTCATCATCTTCAAGATTTACTATTATTAAGAGGACTGATTAGACGCTATTGATTCTTTGCGGGACACCGTGTTTTAGACTAGGGCTGCATACTAATAAACAATTTAATACATCGGAGATTTATGTTGCGTCACAATCTTCTCTTTTTCTCTCTTGCCCTTTTTTAAGCAGAAGAGGATGCATCTCTTTGCTGATTAAAAGAAGTTTGGTACATTGCAGGAGTCTGCATCTAGGTCTCTAGCTTTGGTAGGTCATGGTTACCTTCGAGATGGGGTATAGTTTCAAAATAAATTCTTCTCTGAATTTAGCGTTCCAAGATTATGTCAATTTAAGTTTTTTCAAAGTTCTTTAGCTGTTTATATTGAGGTTTTTTTTACTAATTATAACTAATATCTTTTTATCGACGATCAGTTTTAGAAGTTGATTAGTTTATGTCAAATGACTTTGTATTCTATTTTCGTATTTATTTTTGTAACTCTTTACTAGAAATTAAGATTTTTGATTTATTTTCATATTGTTTGAAAACATATTTCTATTATTGGAGACTATAACACCTTGAAGTCTTTTACATTTTTGAGTGCTTTGTTGAATATTACTAAAGATTTAATGTTGGCCATGGAGTGTTTTATAAGTCTTGTCAATATAGTAGAAAATGCTTGTTTAGTGTTTTAAAGTTTATCTATAGCTTGGCACTTCTAAAATCTAAGTTGAATTGTTTTAAAATTGTAGGGAACAAAAGAAGCAAGTGTCACTTATATCATTTTCAATTTCCTTCCATATGTATTTAATACAATTGTTTTGCCAAACTAATAAGACAAGTAAAAAAAAAAAAAAAAAAAAAAAAAAAAAACATTCTTTACTTAGGCCTTGTCCATCAAAGATTTTCTTAGCATATTAAAGTTGCAAGATAACATACCATTCTATTTGGTGATTTGATTAGCAATAAAAATTATAAATTTCTAAAGTAGATTCTTCTTTTTATTTTTTTGTTTTTATTTTTGCATTATATATATGTTTTAAAGAACAATCACTAGTCTACAAATAAACTTTATGATCAAATTTTAATGTGTTTACAAGCCTAGAATAAATCAAGGGATTTTTCTTTATGGTGTGAAGACCTTGCCATCAAATTATTCTAAAATAAAATATAAAGTAGTCAATGTCAATGCCAATTACAAAGTTTCTTTAGACTATTCAAAGTATTTAGTATCAAGTTTTTTCTTTGCATGAATATTGCTTTGTGAGCTATATGTACTTTGAGATATATTATAATCCCTTGCAAAAAAAATGCCATCAATACATCTTGCTTTGTCTTTACAAACTTGAAATATATACATTGGATAGTGAAAGTTTTTATGGAGATGTAGTCTAATGCAATTCTTTACTTGTATTTCTTATGAGGCTTGTAGTAAAATTTGAGTCTTATGTAGAGGAATTTAAGGTTATATAATTTCTTGTACATATCACTCTTATACCAAAAAATTAAATTTTAGAACCATTCTCATCGTGGCATTCTTGGCTTTTATAGAGCTATTCCATACTATGATAAAATATATAATAGATGCTAGAATAATGTAGTTCACTACCAAAGTCTTACTAATGAAATTGAGCCTAAAGCACAATTTAATTTTTAATTTTTTCTAAATTCATTAAATAAAATTTTAGTCAATTTTTCAAAATTGAAACTTATTTACAAAGAAGTGCCAAGAAGAACATGTATTATTCCTTTGTTAGCCTAAATTTATTCATATTTATTGGTCCATAATAGTTTGTCTTTAAAAGAATACTATAGAGGTGCTAATTTATGCCAATTAATATTTAGTCCCAAAGAAATGTTGAATGAATTTATCATATCCTTAGCTATATCAATATTGTTTTCAAAGATTGCCAAATTATCTAAGTATTGATTAATAACTAATTATTTGTTTGTTTGTTTGTTTTTTTTTGTTTTTTTTTATAATTTTAAATAAAATAAGAAGTTTGATGATTTTTTAAATTGAAATCATTTGAGGATTGAAGTTAAATATTTTCGTTCAAGGAAGATTAATCATAGAATCAATGAGCATCCTTGCAATACTCCTTCTTAGATTGAATTTGTTTTAGAAGAAAACCATTAATATTTATCTATTTCTTTGTACCATAAAAGATACTTTTGTCATCCTAATAAATTGGGATCTAAAACCAAAGGTGTTCATATTTTTAATCATAAAAATCCAATTGATTCAATTTGAAGTGTTTAAAAAATATAATTTGAGTAATATAAGATTTATAATTATTTTCTTGTCAAATAATTCTAATGTAGTATTTTACGGAACAATATATATATATATATATATATATATATATTTATATATATTGCAACAATATGTTGTGATTGGAAAAAGATAATTTTTTTACCTTAATCTATTAATTTAAACAAGATTGATTGAATTCTCATTTAAAAGATTTAGAAGAAGATTTTGTATTAAAAAAAGAGAAGGATAATTGGATTATAATTATCTACTATATTATTTCAATTATAATTTTTAAGAATAAAAATGATAAAACTACTTATAATACATTACAAAAACGTGTATTTGATTAAAGAATCTTCAATGAATTGCAAGTAGTTATGTTTGAGAGTATACCAAATTGAATTAAAAAATTCATAGCAAATTTTATTAAGATGCATTGATTTTTATATTTTATTTTATTTTATTTTTTTTGTAATTACCATTTTATTTTTTTTGAAGAAAATATTTATTTAAAAAAAAATATTAAATTCCTTGATTTAATTTGGAATAATAATTAAGAGTTGGAATAAAAATATCAAATAGACCTACAGTAGCTTCTAATTTTTTAAAAACATTCAGGCCGAAAATAATTCCATCTATATTTGGATTAAATCACTTACCTCTTATTTTAGTTCTTTATTCTTGTTTTAGAGCATATAAATTATTATCAATTTTAAGACAATTAGGATCCATAAAATAAATCCAAATTAGAATCCATAAAATAATATTCAAAGTATAATAATAATATATAAGATTTTATGTTTTCAATAAGAGTGTTTTTTAGTATTATCTATAGTATCATATTATTAATCAAAGAACTAATAAAAATATTAAATATTTAAAGAAAAACTAATAAAAATATAATCTTGCTATTGTAAATACTATCTTTTGTTTCATTACATTCTATTGGTACTTTTAATATATTATATTTTTTTCTTTTATAAGGCATATATAGAGATTCTTATATTGATTTTACTTAAATTATGTTATTATAATAGAAGGATATTATATGTTAGTAAAAATCTAATTTATTTTATTAATAATATAACTTTTGGAAAAGATAGGGTAGATTTTGTCTGTATTCTAAAACTTTCTATTATTATGATTGCATTTGTACTAAGAATTAAAGGAATTATTTATACTTTCTATTATACCTAAGGTTGAACTTTTCTTTGTAGATGATTGTAATTTCTATTCTTTAATCTATCAATGATTTTTTTGCTTTTGTAAAATAACTTCATAATTACAAATAAGTTCTTGCCTATGTTTCTTCCTCATGTTTTAATTTTTTTTTTCACCAAATAAAAAATATTAAAAAATTTTAAAACATAAATTTTCAAAGTAAAATTTTAGATATAAAAACCTTCCTAATGTTTATTTTCAATAAGATCAAAGCTTCACCATATATATATATATATTTTAACACAAGTAAAGATATTTTGTATTGTATAAAAAGACATAAATATAAGCATCTTAGCCAAGTTCAACTAAGACAAGATACATATGCAACCTAGACCCTATTAATACTCTAATTCAAAATTTACTAGTTTTTAGTTTAGAATTTGTTGTGATCCATGATGCCACAATCTCATTGGAGTATCATTGACTTTAAAAATATTTCAATAAAATTAGTTATTTTATAGAGAACTTCTTAATTTTAGCATATGTTAATGCTTATGCAAACCTCCTATAATCAACAAGGCTAAGCCATATCATATTGAGTAATTTTTTATTTTGTGAATTTCTACTATTAAATGTTGTATTATTGCATTCAATTCATTAGTGCTACATGATGATTCCTTGCAAAAGAAACCACATTCTACTAATTTTCTCATAGCACTTCAATATTCTTTGTGCAAAGATACCATGTTTTTTTGTAAGACTCAAGATTTGAATAATCTTTCTTCTTCTTACTTTATTGATTATGTATTGGCTAGCACATCTTAACTTAGTTCTTCTTTGTCCTCGCTCAAATCCTATATATTAGCTTCATTGATAGCCTCACTCTCAACTCTACTATATAAGATTTTATGTACATTTACAGATTGGCTAAACTACAAGAAGATGAATTTTTGAAGTATTTGGAATTCTTTATAAGCAAGCTAGTGATGCCAATATATATCCCTAAAATTTGTGTAATATTATTTTTTTATTTTTCATTAAGGCAAAGATGGAAATATTGATTAATGGTTTTATTTACTTGATGTTTCTACATGTTAATTGCTTTTGATTGATGCCATACTAATTATATATTGTTTTTATTTTATTTTATTTTTCTTCTATTTATTTTATACATTATTCTATCTTAATTTATAAGAACATAGAAGAATATCAGACCATTTTATTGGAGAATACCACCACTACTACCTTGTGATGTTTTTTGAACAAATCTCTGCATAATTAAATAGATTAATTTAAGAAAAGAGTATCAATCAAGCATTGAAACTATCCTAAATTCTATAGAAGTCTATCCACTTTGCAAAAGAAGTGCCAAATGGATGTTTTCTTCTATCCATGTTTTATTAATTTTATACAGATTCAATGCATAATTCCTAATACAAGGGTGTCTGTAATCCATCAAACATGAAAGATTGTGGCATCTTACAAATGGTTGACTAAGTTAACAACTACTAGGTTGCAAGTATTTACTCGCTTCTAATATATTTATATTGAATGGAGAATCTAGTGGTTGATTGCATCTCTCATGGGTGTATAATCTTTATTGGTCTGAAAAACTATAAAATAAAGCATGTTTCTATTCCCAACATAGATGTCTGGCTATTTATTTAATATGAATCAATTTGCTATGGAGAGAAGCAAATGGTTCTATGCAACATAAAGTTGGCTGATAGCCACTTTT